CCAGGGGCTGGGCTATGATGCTTGCCAGCTCCTTGAGTGCCCTGGGATGTAGATTGTCAGGGCTGGCTGACTTGAAGGTGTCCAGCCTCTCGACGGGTTCCTTCACGAGGTCAGCATTGATGGAGGGCAGGGAATCTCCCTCACCTGAGCCTCCCTGTCCTGTAATGGGCATGGGTGTCCCGAGGGACTGATGAAGGACTGATGCAAAGTACCCATTTAATAGGTTGGCTTTTTCTTGGGCGTCGGTTGTCAGATGTCCAATATGGTTTAGCAGGGGTCCAACGTTACCCTTGCTTTTCCTCTAGCTCCCCACACATCTAAAAAAGGACTTTTTATTGTCTTTGATATGTATAGCCAGTTGGAGTTCAGTCGCAGCCTTGGCTTTCCTGGTTCACTCCCTGCAGGACCAGATCGGATCACTGCAAAATCTTCCTCCTTGGAGGTGGATCCCATCGTCCATCCTTTGTAGGCATTTCTTTTTAGCTGCAGGAGGTCTGCTAGTTCCCTGGAGAGCCAAGGGGGCTGCTGTGCCCTTTTGCTGCCTTTCCTCCAAGACAGAATAGCCTGAGCTTGTGCATCGAGGATCACTGCCTTGAGGAGCAACCACTCTTCCTGAACTCCCCTCCTTTTGGAGTTGTGGTCCCTTAGGGCCTCACTGACAAGCCTCCTGAGCTTATCAAAGTCAGCTTTCCTAAAGTCAAGGACTTCAGTATTGCTAACTGACTTGCCAGCTTTATGGAGGATGGTGAAGGTGATCAGCTTGCGGTTGCTGTTGCCCAGCTTCCCATTGATCATTAGGTCGCTGATTAGGTCATCCCCAGTTGCCAGTACCAGGTCGAGCAGCACTTTACCTCTCATTGGCCCGTAGATTTCTTAAGCCAGATAGAGGTCATTCATGCACAAGAGGGAGCTTTGTGACCTCTTGGATTTAGCCGAGCGCTCTTCCCATGAGATGTCTGGGTAGTTGAAACTTCCATGACAACCATGGACCGGGAGCATGTGGCCTCAGCCAATTCCCTGGCAAACTCCTGGTCAAGCTCTTGACTTTGGGTGGGAGGTCTGTAGTAGACTCCCACCATCATGTCCCCTGTACCTTGTTCCCTAGGGATTTTAACCCAGAGAGTCTCCAGCCATCCACCCTGGTCGCCAATATCGGCTTGCAGGGACGTGTAGCTCTCCTCAACATAGAGAGCTACACCCCCGCCCCTTTTGTCTACTTGATCTCTCCTCTACAAGGTACAGGCATCTATATCCATGGTTCAGTCATGGATGGAGTCCCACCAGGTCTCTGTTATCCCTATGACATCATAATTATTTGTATTAAGCAGGAGGACGAGTTCATCCTGCTTATTCCCCAAGCTCCTGGCATTCGTGTACAGGCAGGCAAATGTCTCCTTGGGGGCCCTTGCCTTGCCCACAGATTGATCCAGGGCTGAAGCAGGGGTGGGATCCCTTAAGTGCCTAGGCCCGCTGGTTTTGCAAGGGTTGCTCAGTGGGCCAGCCTTGGCAGTAGTTCCTCCATCCCCCGGTGGGCTTAGTTTAAAGCCCGGTGGAGCAGGTCAGCCAGTCTGGCTGAGACTCACCAGCGGAGAGAGGTGAAGGCCATCCCTTCCCAGAAGCTCATTGCCTCTCTCACCAAAAAGCAGACTGTGGTCATGGAAGCCAAAGCCTTCCCGATGACATCAGTGCTGCAGTCTTTGGTTCACTACCTGGATCCTCCTCTCCCTCCTCAGCCCATAGCCCAAGACTGGGAGGATCAAAGAAAACACCACCTGCTCCCCCAGACTCTTTAGCTCTGCTCCCAAATCCCTGCAACGCTTCATGACCTGGCTGGGAGCGCTCCAAGCCATGTCTGTCGTGACCACATGGATAAAGAGCATGGAATAGAGGTCAGTGGGCTGGAGGAGTTTAGGGATCTTCTCCTCAATGTCTCAGATGTGAGCTCCCTGGAAGCATCAGACTTCCCAGGCTAAGGGGTCAGAGCAGCAGATTGCCCCATCAGTCCCCCTCAGGATGGAGTTTCCCATGACAAACTTTGCATTTGGTTTTGGGGAGAATGGGGGCAGTAGCTACAGTAGAACCTGTGTTGCCTGCGGGAGCTGGCAACTCGGCAGGCTCTGTGGGGGCTGCAAGAGGTTCGTATGTGTTGCTGAGCTCCAGCGGGGCAGAGGCCTTGGTGTGGCAGGTGTTGGGGCCCTTGACCACCTTGGTCCAACCCCTGGGCTGGACACTAAGTCCTCCCTTGTCCTGGAGGGAGACCATGGTCTACCTCCATCTCCCAGGGGAGAAGGGCCTGGCACTAGGAGTCTATCTCTTGCTCACAGTCTCTGATGGTATGCAGTCTCTGGACTGTGGCCTGGAGCTCCTCCAGCTGGCACACCAGAGACCCCAGTAGGAAGCAGACCTCACAAGGGGAGGTGGCCATGCTCCTGGGGCCCAGAGCCTGAAAAAGCGACAGGTAGCCCCTGCAGCTGAGAGCCAGGGGCTCCATCTGGGTGGAGGCCTCTGGTGGCTTCTGACATCCAAGATGACTTTTTGTTATACCACCAAGGAGAGCAAAATTATATCTCTGCCCATATATTCTGTATGCCAGTATACTATGCAGCTGGTTGGACTGTGAAAACCTTAAGTAATGAAGCAAATGAAGCCGAGTGTGAATTTAGATTGGAGATATCCTTTTTCAGTTTCATTCTTTAATTATTACTTTACTATTTTAATTACCTTATCACCTACATAAGGTAAATACTTTACTATATATATGCACTGAATTGTACATGTGTCTCATATGTTTGAGGTATTTTGAAATTCACACAAATTTGACTCATTTTTTATGAGAAAACAGACTGCATAACAACAACAAAATTTCCTTACTGGCTCCTTTCCATCCATAGCTTCCAACCAAAGTTTTCTATTGGATTCTGAAGAAGCCTGCAGTGTAATGATTCCAGGTCTATTAAAACAAAACAAACATTATTTACAATTTATTTATCTTCCCCCAAATCTGCATCCTGGACATTAAAATAAAGAAAGCGTGATTGCATGCATACAGTGGGCAACAGGGAAGAACTAAGGACATCACTTTAGTTTCAAGTATAAACTACTTTGTGCCATTAGAGAAGTACAGTATTTACTTGCATATCACATGTACCTCTGTCCCCCAAATCAAAAGTGGTACTCATGTCTTAATCAAGGGAAGCTGATTTTTCTTGGGAAAGGTAGGCAGAAGCAAGCAGATGCTGTAACTCATAGCTGCTAAGAAGGCTGATGCTTCTCTGTAGCTGTGGAAGCAGAAGGGGCAGAATCCAGCTAACTCTCTCTCAGCCTGAGCATACTGAGCTGGCTCTGAGCAAGTGAGCTGCTAGATGCAGTCTGTAATATCTTGATGAAGCTTATGGTATGGAAACAACAATTTATTACCTTTAGATGTAAACTCTTCATATGATAATTTGTTAAAGTAAACCATAGTGAACACAAGCAACTATAAAGAGTTTTATTTGAATCCTGTATAAATCAGTCTTTAAAGCGAACTGTAAGACATTATTATGGATTTAAGGACAAAACTCTTCATGCTACTTTACTACTATTATAGTTTTGTTGGATATATTTAATTCCTTTGAATTTCAAGAACACTGGCTTTATTTGCCAAAACAAAATTGTCACTTTGCTGATTCTGAAAAAACCAGAAAAGAGTATAATGCTTGTGTTCATATTGTTTTAAAATTACAGTTCCTGGGAGATAAACTAATGGCATGACTGAGATCTAAGGAATTTTATACCCCATGCCAAAAATTGCCCATCCTTCCATGCCACATCGCAAGAATCAGGCAGGCAGTCATTGTCCTGGAACCTGGACATGTTAACTATGTCATATATGTACTATTTGCCAGGGTCCTAAAAGACTCTAAGAGGTAGCAAATGGAGTAGTTTATCTCTATATGTCTCCAAACCAGACTATGATGCTTGACATTTATTTATTATTTTAATATAAAACTAATATATATAATTTGGTACTTTATAAACAGCAGAGTTACTATCAAATTAGCATCTTATAAATTGACAAATATAATTATTACTGTAATTGTGGTAAAATAGGATAATTACTTGAATATGAGATGAGGCTTTTCCCCCCAATCAGCATTCAAAGAAACCTCATTAAATACACTGTCTATCATTAAACTGCTGCTAAAAACAGCATGTGATCAGTAATGGTAACCAACTGTGAAACTGATTAAATGCAGCCAACAGTAAGCATGACTATAAACATATAATCCATATTGGGCAGACCTACTGATGGGAATCTTGCACTAGCATAGGTTGGTGCAGCCCATCTGAATAAAAAATATGTGCTCAGTGGACATGTCTACATGCTCATTAATGCACTTTTGTTACTATGTATTAAGTACCTTTAATGGGAGGTATTACATAAAGGCACATGAGGCTGCTCTAATGCACAGCAGCAAAAGCAAAGATCTTTTTAGTGACACTTAATGTGCAAGCGACTAATTCTACAGAGCATTAGTGTATTAGCACTGTTTTTGCCATGATGCTTTAATGGGCAGTAGAATACACTTACACTAACAGTCATTAAAACATATGTGTAGATGTGTCCAGTCCCCCTCAGGGGCAATTCTTTTTCAAGTCATGGTGAGCCACAGCATTTAATACATTTCAATTTCATCTTCCCACCCACAGCTGCCATTTCCAATTATGTTTGATTCTTTACCAGCTTTAACTGTCTGGCAAATATAACAAAATGGGGCCCCAAACAGAGAATCCTTCTGTCTCCCCACCTCTTCCCCCACCTTCAGCCTGTCACAACAAGACATATGATTACATCCATATATCCAACAAAACATATGATTAGTGTGGCCCTGCCATCCATGAGGTGGAGCCAGACCAGGTGGCCTTCACCTCATCTGCATATATATTTTTGAAGGATCCCAGGACTTATGACAAGAACACCCAATTCCAATTACAAGTGGGGTGCTAATTAGCATATGGATTCTTTGTGGGGGAGTATACATACTGAGCAGTGCTGAACTATGGAGTCACCATGGCTTGAACCATTGTTGACTCTGCTGTGGCCGAGCCCAATGAACTATATGATAAATCATAAGCATTTTGGCTTTGGACTAGTTGCCTATAAATAAATACAAAAGTGCTGTTTAAAAGTGGGTTTATGGAGTACCTGTGCTAAAACTTTCAGCAGTTTCAAAAAAGGTAAAGTGCATCAATTCTGGATGAAATAAGTCCATTTGCCGAAATACAAATTAGTACAGGCATGTTTATTTCAAAGTCAGTGTTTTAAATTTGCCCCTCACTTCTATTTGCACTCAGGAGGTACATGCAGATGAGCATGCATATGCCTCTTGCAGCATCTCAAAGCCCTTTGAGACACTGCAAGAGGCACCTGCATGAACAAAAAAAACGCTCCCTGCACTGCAAATTCATAGCGCGGGGACAAAATTAGACTCCTGGATATCCAAGGGTCAAAAAATATCCCGGGTGAAAAAAGTGGGGCAAATGAGCCTCAGGTGCTCCACAGAGCTATTCAGGCAGCCAGCCAGAGCATCTCTATGGCTGGCCCTCACTCTGGTGCTGAAGCATGCTCCCTGCCAGTCCAGGACAGGCAGCATGCCAGCCGCAGGGAGCTGGACCTGAGCTCTGTGCCAGTGAGTAGGAGGTGGGAGGGTCTGGAGGAGGGAGGAGAGGATCATGTGGGACCCCCCCACAGGCCCCATCCCCTGCCCGCTTCCCAAGCCCCCCGGATCGCTGCACCGCCCATACACATCCCCTGCTGGCTCCTGTCTCCCCCCTGATCCCCACCTGGCCCTGTCCCCTAATGGCTCCTGCAGCACCCCTGATGACTGCCTTGCTGGGCCCCAGTGTCCCAGCACTCTAAAAAAACCCCAACAATAACAACAACAAAAACACATATTTTTTGACCTCTGGATATTTTTGGACCCTCAGGGAATGGTTTTTTGGTCCCACATGTGCCTCTTGCAGCGTCTCAAATGACTTTGAGATGCTCTAAGAGGCATGTGCACACTCGTCTGGATGCGCCCAGGGAGAGGAGGGTCTGAGAGTGAGGAGGAGGGGAAGGGGCTGCAAGGAGGATGGCGCCTCTCAGATTTACTTTTCTTGGTGTAGCAGTGGGGGGGGGCAAATTCAAGGCAAACCTCCAATAATTAGATTCTATATCTGGAAATTTATAATAAATTTATTAAAATTACATATAAAGAATCCAATTATTAGAGGACCATCTTATATTCATGGTCATCTTATATTCAAGAAAATACTGCAGTCTTTTAGAGAATGACCAAGCAAGAATTATATTAAGTGTGTGAATTTATTATCCCTGCTTAGTTCACCAAGACTTTAAGGAAGATGTTTATTCAGTATTTCTCTCCAGTTATCAAGTTCCAATTTCTTAATGAATAAAGATTAATTTCATAGAGTATTGTCCATATGTATTTTCTCACAAATATTCAAAACTGTTTCTCTTCATTTTGGACAATTAAATGTGTACAGTAGTACTTGGGGAAACATTTATGCAATTATTTCAGCTTATGGGAAAAATAAGTTCTCTCTTTTACTTTAGATAAAAACAGTATTGTAACAATTCATTTACAATTGCAAACTTTAAGTGAAGAACTCCTGTATCTCAGAGAAAGAAGTGGGGAAAACAAAAGCATGTCTAAGAAAGATTTATGAGACAAATTTCTAAAACCAGCCTTTCTAATTGAAACTTAAGGGCTACAAAAATCCATTTTTATGTACCCAGCTTAGTATATTAACTATGATAAGATCACATAGACAATGTTATCCATTCTTTGGTCAGAAAAGTAAGTGTGGAGAAACTAGGTGCTTACTCTTGCAAATTTGTCCTCATTTGTACACAGATAAATGGAGAAATATTTTGTGGCTGTTATAATAAGAACCACATATTGTCCAGAAGTACTGCTATTTTATAGCATGATAATTAAATTAATTTGATTAAAAATAATAATTAAAAAAAATCAGACCTTTCAAATACTTCAATATCAAAACAGAAACGTTTATCGATTGAATCTGTCTTTCTTCTGATACAGGATTTTAACTTGAGTATTTCTGGTGAGCTTGTAACAAGGCCATTCTATAAAAGAAGCATAAGAAAGAAACAGGGAAATTAGTACATAGAAACAATGTTGTGACAGCAGGGCTCTGATCTTTAAGTTTAACCACATGACATTAACTATATGAATATGCTTAAAGACTTAACATTATATAAACATTTACAATCATCCCAACATGTTATGCATATTGTATATTAATATAATTTAAATAGCTTCTTCTTCATATAATTGTGTACTTATTTCAGATCAAACATCTAAATTTGAAATTACACTTTGGGAATACATGCACCGCTACAAGGAAACCTGCTGGTATGCAGTAGTCCAAAATCCATATATCTTGATCTGATTAGATTATAAACATTTTTTAAAAATACAAAGATGAGGACATTTAAATCCTGTTTCTGTGCTAAGTCCTGTAGTTTTCGTGTCAGTTGATATACCATGGGAAACAGGACTACAATAGTAATAGTTTCTGAATATATTACATAAAAGGTAGGTAATTTTATTTCCAATATGTAATACGACCTTTAGTTTCATATGTAAAAACATTTTCCAATGTTAATCATTTTATTGCAAAACCAACTCTTCATTTGTTCACCTGAATGCCTCTGATAGATTAAATACTATTTTCCTTATACGTCTTGCTGATGTCTTCATATACAAAAGTTCATATACAATTTAGGGTATAACTCAATGCAATACTCACGACTTTCCCACCAGACTTTGTTTCAGCTAGACTCATTGTAAAAGTTTTTGTCCCTTTATCATAAGTACAGTAATGTTTTATCCAAGTAAATCCAATGGGTCCTAGATAGAAGAAAAATAATATTTAAAAAAAAGCCATTCAGAAATGTTATAATAATTTTATGTAGTGTTATAGCTATATACAGTAGAAGAGATGCAATGTAAAAGAGGTACAGTGCAGCACTTTGAGAAAATTCTCTTTCCTATTTCAGGATGTGACACGTACTGATTTTATAACCTTGAACACATCTCTTGGGATCACGTCACATAAGGGGGCAGGGCTGCAAAGGACCTTATGAAATCCTACCAGTTCAGCTCCTTACTCAAGGCAGGATCCCTGATTAATGGAAGGACAGGGAGGGGAAAAAAGGAGACATCTGTCCCAGCCAAGTGTCTTTCTAACCTGCTCTTGAAAATTTCCAAGGATGGAGATTCAACAATTTCTTCAGAATGCCTGTTCCAATCCTTAATCACCACTGTAGTGACAAAGTTCTTTCTCATTTATTACATTTCCTATTCTTCCATCTCACTGGGATAGCTTTTTCCTGACCCTTAAAAGGGCCTTTTTAAAACCATGACATCCCTCTGTTGCTCTCCCTTCTGACCTTTGACTAGAGAATTGCACTTACCTACTTCCCATTTCATACTGTGCTTCAGAATAAACACATACCTCCTTTATTTATTAGGCAGTATCTCCTTTTTCCCCCTGCTTATCCTTCTTAAACAAGTTATATACATCTGTAGCACACCCTGACTCAGCTCCTATTTGAGGCATGCCCCCAGTCTACTTTCACGCCTACAGGGATGTCCTTCAGCACCTGATCACTCATGGAAGTCTGCTGCTTGACCACTGAGAACAGACAAAACTGTGCCAAGGGATGCCAAGGGGCCAATTTCTTTGCCCAAGGTACCTGCCACCTAAACAGAGAAGATTGCTACCTTTTTCAGTCATGTGCTTAGAAATTAGAGATTTCTAGAGAAGAGGCCTGCCTATTTAGGTAAATATTCTGAAATCATACCAACCACTGATAAAAGGCAAGCTATAAAGAATACCAAAAAGATTTATTATAAAGCCAAGAAAAATCATAAAATATCAGCAACCATATGTTAAGCTACATTCATATATATATATATATATATATATATACACAAAACAAAATAAACAAAATAAAATAAAATATTAGAACAATGATTTTACTTTATCTCTGCATCTTAGCTCTAAGATCTGCTCAGATCCACAGGTTAGAAAGCAGCTGTTGACTTTGACTTCCCTGTCAGGTCATCCTGCAAATTCTGTCAGCCTGTTCAACTGAGCCTGCAAGATGAGTGACTAAAGTCCCTTATATCCAGGAAACTTTAGAAAAAACAGTTGCTCTCATAGCAAGGCTTAAGTATATTTTCTTATCTGGTCATTTATATACATTATCAACTGGATTCTTGGGGAGCCCATATTATATATATGACTTGCTGCCCTGTGTGTGTGTGTGTGCGCGCGCGCGCTTACTAGATTAGAAGTCTCTCCTGGTCCGGTTATGATCCAGAGAGTATCAACATCCTTTCAGACAAATTGCTAACCCAGTATCATTAGGATACCAACTCTCATTTACTTCTCCAATTGTGAATAATGTCCTTCCCTGAATAGCCTATTTTCAGTTTTCATTCTTGCTACTGGTCTATCTTTTTAAAAGTTGATTCATCATCATCTAGAAGGGGCTGACTTATGTGCCTTGGACTATGTTTGCAAGGGTGTATTTGACTGACCATCAAACATATGTATGTCAGACGCTAATTCTCAGTGATCACTTCTCTCAGCCATTTCGATTTTTATTGTTTGACAGATGTGAAACTCTGTTTAGGGAGCAACACCTAAAATCATTATCATGTTATGCAACCCTGGACCTACTATGGCACATAAATATATATTTATACCCAATATAAGGCTAACTGCAGCTTAATGCCATCTATCAAAACCACACACACCAGATCAATAAAATCAACTCAAGAAAACATACATGACATCCAAGAAACACCTCAGGATATGGTGAATTTGTGACACCATCCACAACAGTAGTCTAGTCACGTGAGCTATCCCATCATGTCTCCATAATCCCAGTTATGTTAGGATCTTCAGTTTTTTCCTACTTAACTACCATGCAGTATCATTAGTGCCCAGAGGGCTGGATGAGTCAGTCTGGGTAACCTTTCTGGGATGTCTCAGATGCAGGGTCCTGGCAGGCCACAGACCTCTGGAGCCAATAGGGCAGGGCAGCAGATGGATGCCTTCATGCCCTGCTGAAGGGAGTTACCAGCCACCACCAGCTGTTGCTTACTCTGTGGTAGTAGTCTCAATCCTGCCACATCTTGGGATACATGGCTTGGCCTCTCTTGTCACTGGAGTAGGCTGCTTCTTGTCTGATGTTGGGGCTTCATACCTGTTCTCCACCTGAACAGCTTCAAGTTTAGAAGAGAAACGCAGTCTGCTCTCAGAGAAGACAAGCTGCCAGTTTCCACCATCCTGAGTATCTGGGTTTTCTTTGTCTTCTAATGCCTGCTCTAGCTATCCCTCTCCAGGGTGTGGGAGGTCTAGCTGTGTATTAAATAAATGAAGACCTCAAGCTCACAGATGCTTCTGGCTTGTTCACCTCCTCCTGCTGCTCCTTTACCTTATTCCTAAGAGAATCCACCAGGAGGCACAAGCAGCACCCCAGCTGGCTGTTTCTGGCAGGGACATGCAGGCCACATTTGCAAAGCCAGATCAGGACCTGGGTGGAAGCCTTGGTGGTCAGTGGCAAACCTGGACAGAGTGCACACAGGTAAAAAAGAAAAAAAGGACGAGCTGGCAGAGCAGGGGCTTTGGCAATGTGATATCTTCCAGCCATTCCATCGATTCTCCTGCTAGCTCCTTTTTCCTCTTCTGCTTCTATATCTTAGAAAATGCCTTTTTCTTCCTTTGTCTGCTACCATTCAGGAAGCTAGCAGTGAAGGATGGACAAGAAAGTGGCTAGGCAAATTCACTCAGCAAAGTCCCACTCAAACTCCCGTGTTTACTGGACTGTCTCTGGTCCTCTTATTACTGGCTCCTTAAGCTTAAAGTTCAAGCATCTTAATGTAATTGAGCAATTTAACAGTCCAGGGTCTGATTTTCTCCAGAAGCTAGACAGAGAGAAGTGAGCCACTAATCAGGTACTCTCCAAATACTGGCATGGTAAGTTTCTGTAACCACGTCTGCCTGGGTAGTAACGTTACAGAACAGGAGCTTTCACTCCATTTTGCCTTTCAGGTGTACTTTCTGTTGAAAGAATGGCTGACAACCCACAAACTTGGACACAACAGTCATGAAATCATGAAGTCAAAACACATTCTCCTGGGGACTGCTTTTCAGCTCCCAACTGTGCCTGTCAAAGATAAGCAATATCTTTGGTGCTCTTACAGAAATTCTCTCTCAGACCCCTTGGGAAAAAGAACTGTCTCAGGGATCATGTTTCTTCCCATAAAGTTGGTGGAAGAGTTCTATGAAAAGAGCAAGAGCTCCAAAAGTGAGGAAAGCATGGAGAGAAGATCCTGACTGTTAGAAGCAGAAACTCAGTGAAGACCTTCTTGTCTCCTGTCATTTGGAGTGGGACTGTACTAAGGAGATCAGTGGAAGCATGACTTTGTGGTGAGAGTATTATGAATACCATAGCTGTAAGAAAAGGTGCCATGACTAACTCTGACTCTTGGGAATGGTTTTAAATTGAGGATGTTTTTGCAAATAAAGGCTAGAAATACATTTTCTGGTAGAACAGCACAGTTTAGTATTGGCAAGAAAAGGAACAAAAGGTCAAACTACCTACAAACTAACTGCTGCACACATTCCAGCAGAACCACTAAAAACAGCCATAGGGAGTCAAAGGGATACTGTCTAGTATATCTGCATAAGGTTTTTCAGTATTCTCTTATTGGTGTGGCCTATCTTTTACAACTCATCCTGAAGAAGCCATAGCTTAATCCTATCCTGAAGCCCTTTTTTATTACTGACCAATAGCTTGTCTTCATTGCAGAACTACCCTAGGTTCTTGCCCAGGAATTATCCTGAATCCCACTTCTCCCTGCCCACAAAGCCCTTTCACTGAAGTTTTCTTAGAGTTCAGATTCATCTTTCATGATGTCCTGTAGCCAGCCCTTCACCTGCACTGAGGATTCAAACCTACAACACTCAAATACAGACAGCCCTCCACTGCTTCTCACAATTATTGTTGTATGCCTAAAAAAGAATCAGAGACCAGTTCACCTTACTGCAGCACAAAAAAACATGGCATATGCCTCCAGAAGTCTGGGAAACACATCCAGTAGGAGTGCAGCACCACTGAAAACAGAATAATTCAGGTTTGCTTGTTCAGTGTAGCTACTCTCCTGCTCCAGACTAGGCTACCCTGCATGTTCAGATACAGATTCTGATCAAAGGAGACACCTTTGCTATGAAAAAGCAAGCTCAAAAAGAAAATAAATGTTTCCCATAGAACCAAAATGTGCTTCAGACACTTTCCATTCAACTACTGAGCTTTATGGGGACTGTGCTTGTAAAATTTATGTGACTGCAACCTAAGTCACTATAGCAACAAGCCAGCACCAAAAAACTCTAATGCACTTGATTACTAAATACATTTAAAATAAGAAAGGGTTGAGATGGCATCCTCAAGCCACATGTACAATTTTCGATAATTTCAATGGAAAGTGCAGGGGCATATCAAGGGCAAAATTTGGCAGTTACAGCATGCGACTGGACATACGGCTTTGTTTTTTAATGAAAGGTGTTGCTACGGTAACATTTTTTATTAAAATGTAAACCTGTTAATTTTTAAAACTACAGATGTTAAAAATATCATCATAATTCTGTGTCAATTACTACAGATTTGCCTTGTAGAGGTGCCCATCCACAAAGGCAATGATGTTTTCAAAGAATTCATTAGTCTCGTAAGTCATTTGGTTGAGAACCCACGATTCTAAACATGCAAACATACATGCCTGTCATGCAAATATGCTCAGAGAAGCATCTCTCCTCACCTGTATTTCACAAGACAAAAACGAAATAGCCCCAATGCTTGGTTATTTTATTTCTGAACAATTTTTTTTTTTATATATAAATGGATGATTCTTCTAATATACTTTTAACCATGGCAGTGTTTTACCAACTCTTGCATTATAAGGGCAAACATTTTCAAATAAACTTTATAGATTTTTTTTCTGTACATGTTGCTATCTTATACACATCAATATTTTGTACAGAGAGGTACCCAAGTGCTCCACTATCTCATCCTCATACTGCTGTTTCTATATGTTTGTTGTAGCATTTTGTAAGTTTACTTTTTGGAAAAAAATAGCCTTATTTGATAGTGAATTTATACCATCCTTTGCAATAATAAATTTTGTGTCTTGTGCACTACTAATAATAGATATGCAGAGTTTTGCCCTTGAAGGCAGTACTTATTAACTATACTTTTTTTTGACAGCATCCTTAATAACTGGTTGTGGAAGGCTAACACCAGTATAAGGAAATCTCTCTGAGGCAGAGATGACAGACTGTTATTTTTTACCGAAGTAAACTAATGACCAAATCTCCTTTCAGTGAGAGGATGTCAGGTTGGCCTCTCACTATTTAATGAAGCACTGCATGTGCCCAGCATTTCTCTCCTTTCTTGCTCTCCCAATAATAGTGCCTTGTGCAATTCCCACTTAACAAAGACTTGTATTATTATTCAATTAACATATACAGGATCTGCTCAAAACTCTTTAGTGTAGCTTTTGCTAACAGTGAACCAGGTTAACTAACATCAGCACCTTATCTCCCTTCGTTTGGCTCGTATATATAATAGGAGCTCAGGCTTGTGAGGTGAGCTTTTCATGAACCAATTAGTCTGGGAAAATCAATTATCTATAGCACTATACAGACTCTTGATGTAGGCTCATTGGGTGGGTGGTGGGAGGAAGCAGACCCTCATAACTGAATCTACACTGACCATTGAGACCAGTTCCAGATACCCTGCCTTTTAATATTAGGCCCAGAAAGTTCCTACTTTTACAAGAGAGTAAAAAAATGGATTTATAGGATAAGCTATACTAAAGATTTATCACTGTTTAAATGAAATACAAACTTGCACATCACACAGAATACCTAAACCATGTTTATTGTCATTTGCCAGCACCAGCTTGACCCACATCATACACAATAAATTTGAGATAGCATATAGGATGGGAATGGCTTTACTGAGGGTGTAGCGTGATTTCTGTACAGCTAACTCAGGCAGATTGTCTATGTTGTATTTGATCTTAACAGTGGTATTTGGAACATCACACACAGCTATTCCTCCCCTTGTCTTCAGTTTTTGGTTTCCAGGACGGCATTTTCTCAGATGAGAGTCAAACTGCTCTGACTATTCACTGTTTATGGTTTTTGATTCGATTTTCCCTTCCCTTTGTCATTTATTGGTAAGCTCCTGGCAGTGTATTTTTGCTAAGTCTGCACATTTTAATTCTATTTCTTTAACTTGTTCGGACACTGCTTCATTCTTATTATCATTTACATGCAAATGAACAGGCCTACACACAACAAACTAATAATCCAATTTCCTTTTGCTTTTGTAATTCATATGGTTGCTCTCACATATTAAGGTTTTGGGTTTTTTTGCTTCAAAGGGTCTACATTGTGAGTTTAACCCAACTTGCTCATGGAATAGTCCCTGCGGGCCTGCCTACATTGCTTCATGTACAACCCAAGAGTCCTTCTGAGGAGCGTGTCTCACCCACTGGCTTCTGCTCTGCACATGCTCTTATGTTAAAACACAGCCACATTAGAGCAGTCATGAGGACACAGCTATTAGAATGCCCATGGCAGAGACCCTTAGGATGCCCTGAGCTATTGCTGCAATGCCTACTTTCTGGGATATGGTAAATATAGAGTAGGAATAAGTAGGCAATAGGGCTCTCAGGGCCAGCGCAGTCAGTACAGACATGCTCTTCCTTGCCTACTTGCCTGATCCCTCAATGACCTCTTAAAACACATCACCTCCACAAGGTTCTGTTACACACAGACAGAGACAGTGACAATGGGTTCCCTGAGGTAAGGGAGGGAGCCAAGAAGCTAGTTTATTAGTTTTAATAAAATAGGCTTCTCTACTTTTTCCTCCAGCCTATGTTTAGGTGGCATCAGACACATCTTGGGGAAGTTCTCAGTATTCCTATGGGTCAGACTTTTCCAAAGCATAAGCAAACAAAATAGATAGAAAACCCATAATTTGCCCTGTCCAGATTTTATGTTTTTTCTCAGCACACTTTAAAAGTGGCAAACAGTAAAGCAGTTTTCAAAGTTGGGTATATATGTGCATATACTATTACTCACGCTTCTCCTGGACATAGAGATAGCCTTCCATGGTCCACTGACTTGGTGGTCGGTAATCCTGGCTGGCAGATTTCATTCTCTGCATCAGTCGCTCCACTTCTTGCCTAGTACTTTCAAAATTATTCCGTGTCTAAGACAAATAAAAAGAGTGAAAACACCCTAGAAACTCAATAGTTCATTCAGTATTTAAGGTAATAATTATAGAAAGAGATCAAATATTATTGCTACTACTACTATTACTACTATACTACTACTACTACTACTATTGGGCCACATTTAGAGAAATTGGGACAATTCTCTGAAGGACAATACATTTATTTTTGCCCCAGTTATGCTGATAACTGGGATGTAAAAGATAACCTTCACTCTGTATTCTCTACAGCATGTCAGTGAGCCTTCAAGACAATTACTTACTTCCACAAGTATCAAGGAAATTCAGAGTTAACAGGGGAATTCAAAAGGTCACTGGCCTTAAAAAACTATTTCTTAGCACACTCGCTCTCATGTCAATGCCAATCTCAGAAACCCATCTATGCATACTAACATCATTCTGAGAATCTCAGAACAAGACCATATTAACTGTGTATCAAGGTACAACTTATTTATGTAAGGAAAGATAAGTCATGTTTAGAGTGGCAGAATGTGTCAAGTATGTAAAAAGGCTCTATCTGCCAGAACATGAATTTTTCCATGCAGCCAAATATACGTACAGGCAAACAGATAATAAAGCAAAGAACTGCACCATTTAGATGTGCAAATGCCATTTTTGCCTTAACTGAAATCAATGGGCCAGAATCAACCCCTGCCTCCCACCACATACCTAAAGCAGATTGTACAAGGGAACTGCTATGGGATTATAAAGTATGCTAGATTGTTGTGGATAAGCCTAAATCCTGCCAGAGCTGAATGCACTTCAGTAAACTGCAGTGAAAGTACACTTGGTATCTTACAAGATTTAGCTTAGTTGGTCAGAAAGGCACAGTGGTATAGACATTTGGTTTCCTGGAGACAACTAGCAGCGGTGAACCTTGCGCCATTGGTACTTGTCCCTGGGGAACATCCATGCCACGTGTGCTCTGGTGAGTGGCAGGTTACCCCAGGTGGGGTAGGGGAGGCTGGGGCTAGCACTGGGCTGATCCCAGGAGCCTTACCTAGGGCCCTGCTGGGACTGCAGCAGCGCCAATTCTGCTACACGGAGCCTGGCTGGCAGCTGCAGCATGGCTCCGGGCAGCCTGGCTCAGCTTTTCAGCGGTGCGTGCTGCCCATGCCTCTGCTTTTTTTCCCCCACGGGTTTTTTTGACCCCTGGATATTTAGGGGTAAAAAAACCCCTCTGCACTGCTCCACTGCAGCACAGAGAATATCTGAATGTGTGCAATGCACACATACTGCACAGATGTCCTCATCTGGATGTGGCCAGTCAGGTCTTTATGGATTTGTGAAAATTGCACATTTTTTCATAACTAATTTTCAAGTTTATTCAAAATGATTATAATCCTTAGCTGTTATACACTGGTTTACATGAAGCAACGTGCAGGCTTTATTTATTCCCCAGAACATCCCTGCTAAATCGGAGAATAGCCAATGTCTATACAGTGCTGGGAAGACGTATGGTATTATACGTGCTTATTAAAACCTAGGCAATGTAGGCCACAAGCAAAAAAAGATTTAATAGACAATAAATAATCAAGTTGCAGCATACTCATGACTTTAGACAGCAGCATAATTGCATATGGTTTGAAATAGAGTGTAGTTAGCCAGTTACTGAGGCCTGAATAGTCATGGCTACTCCCACACTCTCTCCTAGGGCGACTCTTCTCCAAATACCACTGAAGTCATTATGAAGCTTTCTGCCTGACTCAGATTTGACCCCTTTTCCCACTTCCGCAGAGACTAGTCCAGTAGCTATTTAGAGAGCATTCGAAGCTTTTTTAAATAAGAGAAAGAGATTAATTTGTGAAACAGAGGAAATAACTCAGTAAATTCTCGTGGCACACCTACATAGAAGGTGGTATTAGCATGTTTTCATGTATGTTTCTCCAGCCATGGAGGCTGCTGGAGAATTCGAGTAGAATGAAGTACTCTGGACTGGAGGATGGACGTTTGCTCTCCTTGTAGTGAAGCAAGAGTGACCTCTTGTGCCTTCAACTAACAAATCTTTCATAAATACCCAGTTTTAAAGGAAAAGAGGTTGTGAAAGGCTGTAGATGGAGAGGGAATATCTGCAAACAGACTTGCGTGTAGGTGTAAAATGATGGGAGTGTTAGTCATTTCAGAAACACCACTTCTGCTTCCTCAGGCAGATCTAGCTCTGGGCTCCAGCTCCAAATGGGGATACCAGGTATAAATGAGGGTAGAAAGGAAGAGGTTAAGTGTGAGACAGATTTTCCCTTGCATCAAACCTAAGAGTATAGTTCTGCATTAGTATAGCCCAATACCAAGACAGGCCCATTCTGGGAAACCCCTAAACCTCTGCCACTTTGTAAAATATTCCAGAGACAGTAACTGGTAGTAGCAGAAGTCCTGTCAGCACATTTTCTTTGGAGCCATACCAATAACAGTTCATTTGGAGACAGCAATAATGTGTGCAACTCCAGCATGTACCCTGAAGTTGGTAGGCTTGGCAGCCAAAACCGAAAAAGTCAAATCCTGAGCTGGTATAAGCTGTCATAACTCCACTGAATTCAATGAAGCTACAATTTATATCTGGTGATGATCTATCACACTCTTTCCTGGTAGGGGAACTGACCCCTATAAGAGTATGTATAGAATAGTGATGCATAAGAGAACAGTAAAATGGAATCTACTGAGGAAAATGTTAAAGTTCCTTGTAGAATTTTATTTATCCTCCTTGTGGGTTTTTATGGATGGGAATCGAAATTTGGCTCAACATTAAAACATTGGTTAAAAATTTTTATGCAAACTTGTTGAAAGGATTCCATTTATTTGAACTCTACTTTTCTTTTTGTAGAGTGTTGAAAGCAATCCTGGATTCATTTATTATTAGTCAGGCATAAAAGATATTTCTTGTGTACCTAAATATACGGTATTCAGACCTATAGTATCTGAGCACAATAAGTATTTTAAAGTTAAAAATAATATTAAGTAATTCTCTAAATCTTTCTTCCTTTTCAACTTCTAATGGCTAGGGGGATATTTAACAGGGCTGTGTATCTGTGTAGGGCTTACTAAAGGGAAATAAAGCTTACTAAATGATTTTTCATTTATTTTTAACGTGTTGAGATCTACAGTTACCTCTTAATTTTTTAAGGGTTCAAATCACCTGGTCTGGGTCTAGCTAGTATTCTAAATTTCAGGCTCAGGGTATCGAACATATGGCCCATACAGGTGTTCCATCCAGGCCATCAGGCTACTGGAGGGACAGGGAATTTTAGGATATGAAAGTGAAAGGTGGGGACTGCTGGGCCTCCACTGGACATGGCCATTCATGGCAAGTGGATGAAAGCTATGCTGACACATTCCTGCTCACTCTGAAGTTGCTTGGCTCGCAGCCACTTCCCTGGCCACCACCACTGCTTGCGCCACCACTGCTGCCTCTGCCCCTGGTCCCACAGCCATAGCTGTCACTGCTTGCCCCATGGATCTGGCTCAGGGCATGGGATAAGTTTGATGGTCCTGTTTTAGCTCATAAATTCATATGCTGCCTCCTACTAGTCAACCATTTCATTTATCCTGTGGAACTCTGCAGCTCTGAGAGCTGATGGTCATAGAGTAGGAGAAATGATATCCAAAAAACTAGAGTAAAAGGATGCCCTTTGCATATGAGGAGCAAAACTTTCAAATAAACCCTACATTCAGTGGGAAGCTAACACAGAAGACAGAGCAGGGCAATGGGGTCAAGGCAAGCTGTGATATTAAGCAGATGAGCTGCTTCATTCTGCATCAGCTGGAACACTTTCCAGGTGCATAACTTCATTCCTAAAATCAGACCAAAAAAGCATTTACATATGTGCAAGTTCATCTCTGCTCACAAAACTTAAAATATGAAGTTAAAGAGTGAACCGTGTCTGTCTTAATGATGTGTTTCTGAATCAAGGCCCATCAGGCCATTCTATCTGGCCCACAAGGCCCCTAAACATTTTAGAAAATTAGTATTTATCTACTCCTGGCTGCCTGTCAAAGACGACAGGAGCCAGGGACAGTAGGACCGAGGGGGAACCAGCAGCAGGATGCAGGCAGTCCAGCCCTGCCCCAACCCCAGCCATTTTCCTGCCTTCTGTGGTAGTAAACTTAGTTGGGCTTCTGGCCTACTTGACTAGAGAAACAGACAGAGACCAGAAGTGCTGATACTGCTTATTTCAGTTACATGTTCTGAGGTAAGGATTCCTGCATGCCTTGTTCAGTCTTGATATATTACCCTGTACACAGATGTTTTCTTTAAGTAAACTGCCTGCATTTCTGTGTGATTTACCATTGTTTTATTTCTCCAAGGTTGTCCTTTTTTCTCTTTTTCTGTCTTAAGTATAAATATGCTTGTAAACTTAAAGAGTCCGAGAAATGCTTTGAAACAGACAAGTGGGCGATTCCCCTTGCTGTACAGAATTCTCCCTGTGATCACAGTATAGCCCTAATAACGAAAAGCTGGCTCTGTCAGTTCTGATTCAACCACAACACAAAGTTTGATTTCTTCCATAATTTGGTGCTGTAACTTGGATAGAGATGCCCGGAATGATCAGTTGGGACACAGACATCTCTTCACTGAAGCCCTGGCACCAAACCAAGGTAAGAGACCTTTTGAAATCTCTATTGCGGTTTTTCAGTGAGAGGCTGTCTCTGCGTCTTCCTGATTCACTGCTTGAGGCTTATTCTATCCGAACTTTTTTTCTGCCAGAACCGTCAGACCCACTGTGTGAGTAGTAACTGTGAGTAGAAAGAGTTAAGGTTAAAGACTCTGTGTTGCTGTTGTCAATGAAAGTATTTCCCCACGTGA